CCCCACTTTCTAGCCTTTCTAAGAGTAGTTTTCCCCCTCCATCCATTGACCCACTCCCTGGGGAACCCCATCTCCCAGACCAAGCCTTTTATGAAGGCTGGGGTATCTACAAATTGGATTTTTCCTTTTCAGTTCTGCCTCATCAGTCCCAGCACAGGGGCCGATGGATGGTCGATAGGGTAATTTCTCTCATGTGAACATTGGTAAGGAGCTTTAAGATGGGAAGAGGTGCTCCTGCTGAGGCGTGCTCACCATGAACTTCACACAGCACAAGTTTCCAGACCCCTCCCTGGCATGGACCCATCTCTGATCCCTGAGAGAGGCCCTAGCAACATGTTCACATGGTCACATACTTGCTACTGCAAAATCTGACCAAGTCAGTCTAACTGAAGTCAGTTGTGACCTGTGACTCTTTTCACTCTTGACCTTCTCCCTGTCATTTTTCCTCATGTCTGGGGGGCTTAGAATAGCTGCGGCATGGGGAGGGGGGCTGGCTCAGCGGAAGTTGAATGCGGATACGTTTAGTTTGAACGTGATGGTTCCATGTGTACCTATGCCGGCTGACTTGTCTTGTGTAGAAACATTCTTCAGGACTCTCCTGATGCCACGGGATTGGGGCCGACTCACCTGGCACAATGGGTTGCAGAGTGATGTGAGCATCTTCCAGTGTGCTCCAGCAATACAAGGATGTGTGTTGAAGAGAAGTGAAACTTTAGGGAGCCAGAAGCCAGGCTGTGGAAAATTCTTCCAATTATCAGGATTGTAAAATTGGAAACAGAGGACTTGGATCTCAAAGATGTTTAGGCAAAATGGAAATTATTTCCTGTCAAGAATATTCTCTATAATACAGTGCATATAATTATAAATGTGTCATAATTTTTTTCCTTTGTGATGGGCGTCTTGTTGTTATGGATTGAATTGTGACTCCCTTTCTCCCTTTTAAAAAAAAAAAAAACTCCAAGTACTGAGAATGTGACCTTTTTCAGAAATACGGTCTATACAGAGGTAATCAGGTTAAAATGCTATCTTTACCATGGATGCTTGATCTAATCTGACTGTTGTGCTTATTGAAAATGAAAATGCGGACACAGAGACAAACATAAACAAGGAGGACACCAGGCAAAAATGAAGCAGAGGTTGGGATGATAATTCTGTAAGCCAAGAAATGCAAAGGATCACTTGCAAATTACCAGAAGGCAGGAGAGACTCATGGACCACATTCCCATATGGCACTCAGAAGGAACCAGCACCTTGGTCACAGCCTTCTGGCCACCTGTGCAGTGCGACCATATATTTCTGTTATGCAGGCTGCCTGGGTGGAGGTCCCTTTTATGGAAGCCATAGATAGTATGCATGTGACGTAGACTTTATCAGAAGTCCCAGGTTGTAGGCCATGAACCCCCAACAGTACTACAAACAGTGAAATCCCCATGTCCAAAGTCCTTGTGCTTTCTGCATTCCAGTTTGTCCACAGCTAAAACAAAAAAATTTCAACTAATGATGCAAGAGGGAAAGGTAGATTATCTTTCCATTTTCTGTATAGAAGATGATAGCTAGATCATCTTTCTGTCAAGGACACCCCTGAGGTGCTCTTATGGCTGTCCTTGCCGTCCACATGTATTGCTCCTGGTCCCATCACCTGCAGCTAGGATTTCCTGATCCATGTCCTGGCACTCATCACCATGTCCCCAAATCCTTTCAGAAAAACAGCTTGTGGCACTATGCTCCCATGGGCCCTGACCTCAGACGTGAGGCTCTAGAGAATGAAGGAGTCAGAGTGGCCTGGCTTCTCTCTTCAAAACTGTCCTTCTCCACCACTTTCCAACATCCAGAAAATGAGATTGGAGTTATTTCCATTCAGAACCTAAAAGAATGTTGCCTTCATGTTTGGCCATCAACAGGCTGTCTCAATTACCCTGTCAAAGGCCATCTAAACATTGGTGATTAGGTTAGGTTTTTCTTTCCACCTTTTCCTCCCTCTCCCCTGACCCAGCCTCCAGCCCCACTGCAGCTTGCCTTGTGTCCTCAGGGGAACCCCAGCCCTCTTCTCCTCCTATAACCATCTCCCACCAACCTATACCCCAGCCTCCTTGACTTTCTCACCATCAGATGAAGGGGTCAAGTTTGTCTTAGGGTTATTCTATCTGGACTCTTGGTCCATGACCTAGAAAGGAGCAGAAGAAACTAAACATGATTCAGCTATAGGACCCAGGCTCAGATCCAGGGGCTAACATTGTGGAATTTCTGCCCAGAACAGTCTCAACATAACCTGAGTATCAAGGCTTTCAAGGCTATGCACTAGAGGGGCAACACTAAGTGGGTGTCCATCGGGACTGTTGGGGTGATAGAAGCTGAACTGGCCCAAAGGGACACTCTGACTTGTATAACAGTTTGGTGGTTCCTCACAAAGTCCAACACAGAGTTACCATGTTACCAAAGAGTTGTAATAGAGTCACCATAGAGGTCTCAGTGATTTCACTGGTTGTTTTGTTGTTGTTGTTTTACTGTGCCACTGAGCTAAATCCTAAGCCCTAAAACCTTCTTAAGCTCCCCCTCCCTCCACCAGGGATTGAACTCAGGACCTTGTGTTTTCTAGGCAGGCACCACACCACTGAGCTACATACATCCCCAGCCCCTAGTAATTCCACTCTTAGGTGAACACCCAAAAGAATTAAAATCAGGAACTCAAACAAATGCATGTTTTCACGATATTCACAGCAGCACTATTTACAGCCAAAATGTGGAAACAATCCAAATTTAATAAACAGTTAAACAAATTTAGTGAGTACACAGAATGGAATATTAATCATCCATAAAAATAAATGAAATCCTTATATATGCTATGATACAAATGTCAAAAATATCATGTTAAGAAAGAAGCCAAATACAAAAGTTCAAATATTATGTGAAATATCTATAACGGCCAAATCCATAGAGATAGAATGTGAACTCGTGACTGCCAAGGGCTGATGGAAGAGGGAATAAAGAAGTTTCCCTCTGCAAATGATGAAAAAGTTTTGGAACTGCAGAGAGGTGATGGTTATACAACATCATGAATGTACTAAATGCCATTGAGCTGTTTGGTTTACAATGATTAATTTTTGGTTGTGTCATTCTCGTCACAATAAAATTTAAAATTCCTAGACAGGATCTCTGATTTTTGGGTCAGATGTCCACCCTAGCCAATCAACCAAAGCTAGGGGAGGGATCTACAGAAAAAAATGTCCACTCCCACTGGAGTCACATGCAAGCAGTTAGGAGGACTCACACTCCTGAAAGGTGGGAGTCAGGGTATTTCTGGAAAAAAAATGAAACTTTAATAAACAAAATGTGACCCAGTCAAACATCAGGATGAGGAGAGAATTTTGAACCACTCCGTGAGTACATTGGGGACTAGCGATGTGTGGTTACTTAGATCTAAACAGTTCAACCCTTAAATAGCACTAGTCACCTTCCAAGCGCTGCTAGGAATGGACTGGATAGCAAACACATAGAACTTCACCAAAGTTCTATCGGAGAGCACTAGAGACTGCAGAGTACGACTCTTTCATATCATAGGTGACAAGAAGAAGGATCCTACAGACAACTTTGGGCCAGCCAGAACCAACACTCCGGCCTTAGTCTAGAAATAAAGTTTTTCAATCAGGAAGAAGTGTAATTGCCTTTCTGTTTAGAAAAGCAACATGCTGGGCCAGGGATTTAGCTCAGTGGTTCCACCACCTGCCTTGCAAGCACAAAGTCCTGCGTTCATTCCCCAGTACCAAAAAGCAAAACAAAAAACTAGTTAATATACTTCATTGTTAAAAAAGAAAAGCAACATGTTTGTTGTGCGCAATTTAGAAAACCTCAAAGATATTAAGAAAAAATAAAGATCAACATAATTTTCATGACTCAGATATTATAATTAACATACATATATATATACTAGTAGACTTTTTTCCCATGCACTTCTACTTATAGACATATATCCATATATATAATATCCATATATATGGATAGAAACACATTTTATGCATTTTATTCTGTCTCCTGTTTTTTCACAATATATTTCAGACACTTTTCTATGTCATCAAATGTAGATTCATGCATCATTTTAGTATCTGTGAGAAGCTAATTCTGAACTGAAGACTCAGAGGGCTCTTTGATGGATGGAGTGGCATTGCACAGGCCCTTGCAGAAGCAAAGATAGAGATGCTGGGATGGCCAGGACAGTATCAGCAGAGGGCTGAATGTGGCAAAACTCCAGTCAGTGGCAGGGCACTCTGCCCATAGGAAGCTGGTAGATGCAGGAACGGGGGCTCCAAAAGACAAAGGTCACACAATATGTTGATATCATGAGTGGGAATGGAGCCCAGGACTCTCAACTTCCACAGCCCACAACTTTGGCCTCCACAAAGTCCAGTCCCGATTCTTCACACTAGCACCGAACACCTGCTTTTCACTCACTTTCATTATCTTAATCATGGATGACAGCATCAATGGATCACCTTCTGCATCTGCTCCGTTCAAGACAGGGAGACCAAAAGCCCTAGAGGAAAAGGTCTTGGAGCTAAATAACAGCAATTGCAGGTGTGGACAGAGCCCTCCCCATATGCAAGCCACAAGCTGGGGCCAGGCCAAGATTCCACCACAAGACCCTCTCCTCCCTCCTGAGGGCTGTGCCTGCGTAGCCCCTGAGTCACTGTGGGCCTGCTGCAGTGAGTCAGCAGCATTCTGGAAGGCTGAGAGCACCACAGCTCAGCCTCAGGCTCTTCCTGTGTATCTTGGTGAGCCTGGCACATCCCCAGCCGGGCGAGATGCAAGTGCCAGCCGCATCAGTAGCCTTGGGTCATAGGCTGACAGCCTGGGAGTTGACCTGTGGGAACATGGGGATTTGAATGACTCAGAGGCCCCAGCTATGTTTGCTGTCCAGAAGCTGGATGCTGACCTCAAGTGCTCTCTGAGACGGAGCACAAGGCGGAAGGTACCTAGCAACTGTCTGGGCTGCGTGAAGATGGTGGAAGACAGTGAGAAGTCTCTCAAGCACCCCACCGCTGCTCTTTGGACAAGGTGCACCCCAACGATGGGCGTTAGGGGTGGGGGTCGAAAGCACAGACCAACCTGGAAATTGGGGTTGGATCTTCTGCTGCTGGACTCCTAGTGTGACTTTGGCAAGTACTTGTCTTCTCTGGGGTCTGACGCTGGGGAAACCAGTACCCACCCTGCCAGGCTTTGAAGTCCTAAATGAGCAGGTGTATGTGATGCTCTTGGCACGATTGAGGCACTAAGGAAGCTCATCAGATTGGCTGCTCTTATTAAGATAAAGGAAATACTCTCCGGGGACTCTTCTGGAAAGGCCCTTCTATGCGTTCATTCATTCATCTGTTCCTTTAACAAGTAGTTATTAAGTGGCTATGGAGGGGGACAGAGCTCAGATCAGGGCTGTTTGCAGGGTGGGGAGGGCCACATGTTCCACAGCTCACATGGCTGAAGGGTCCACAGAGTAAGAAATGACAGTGGGAGATTAAGAAAAAAAATGGACAAAAGGTGGGGTCAGGTGGAGCTTTTACTCCTGATGAGAGAAAAAGACCACCAGGAAACCGCGGCACATTTATTTATAGTGGTAAAGATGAGGGAAGTGCAGGAGGAGATATAAGGGGTTGGTCTGTAACCAGAGCCGGGAGAGTAGCTAAGGTCTGCTGGTTTTCTAATGAATGGACCGGGAGGAAGATAGCTCTCTCTTGGCCAGGCTATGCCCTCTTGTCACCTATTCTCCTACAGAGCCTGCTTCATCTGGAATGGAAGTTTAGGCCTGGCCTGGTGTACAGCACAGTGCTCCCAGCATACGTCATGGCTGATGTTCTTGGTAAAGAGCTTCGCTGAGAAAAAAAAAACAAACAAAAATCACAGAAAGGGACAGACACGGTCTCTACCATCACAGAATTTACACTGCAGAGCTGAGGATTTAGCTTAGTGGCTCTGTGCCCGCCTCACCAACACAAGGTTGTAAGCTCGATCCCCAGTCCAGGAAGAAAAAAATAACTTATATTGTAGTGGGGAATGCAAGGCAATAAGTAGACAAGAGAATAAAAAGCAAGAACATCAAAGAGATGGTAGTGTTTGGGGAGGCCCTGTGGATGGAGCAGCAGAGAGCGGCCTCTCCCCTGAGGTGGTGGCTGTGCGGAAACATGAGGGTGGGGCCAGAGCAGAAGGCAGCCTCGGGAAGAGGTGAGCACATTTGCATCAGCACAAGGGGTAGAGCAAGGTAGGTGCCTGTGCCTGGAGGAACCTTGGCACAGAAAGACGGGACTGCAGTGCTCAGGGAGCTATGGGGGATGAGGCAGAGAGCCACAGCCCTTCCAGGCTGTTAACATGTTAACATCATCGCAAGGACCTGGCACGGAAAGGTACAAGATTCCAGTAATGAATGTAACTGTACTGTCTACCTAGAATGTACCAATAAATTCAATTAAAAAAAAAAAAACGTCATCGCAAGTCCTGATCTCTGTTGGCTGGACTACCAGAGCAAGACCCCCAAATTCCAGAATGATAACAAAGCTGGGAAGAGCTTGACCATTTCCCAGGGGGCATTCCGTGTCCTCTCTAGGCCGCTGTGACCCTCAGCCCTCCTAGCACCAGCAGGGACCTTGGAGCAAGCGAGGAGACCACAGCAAGGCTATCCTGGCCCTGTGTGTCATGATTTCTGGTGGGGTATGGGGTGGGGGGCCTCCAGCTGCATTCCAGGAGAAAATCTGCCTAAGTGGCTAGATCAGAGGAATGCAGAGCCCACCCCTACCCCAGACAAAAAGAGCCTTTTCTCTCCCAAGCCCCTGGGGTAAGGCTTTCTGGGGGCTGGGGTCACCTGATTTCTGCTGTTTATGATTAAGGCTTTTGCTGAGCAAAGAAAACACAGCTGTCAGCCATAGGTCCAGTGCAACACATGCAGGGAGGGGCAGGGCAGGGGGGTGGGGGTGGCCTAGGCTCACTGGGTCATCTTCCTGCCTGTGAAGTCCAGCACCTGCATCTACCACAACTACCCTGAGCAAAGACGCCCTGATCATGCCCTGAACCCACTCCACAGCCAGGGAGACTGAGGCCAGGAAGGGGCAGGGACCACCCAGCTAGACACTAATAATTATGGCCACTGAGGACTTACTATGGGTCAGACGGTGAGTATGGTGGGAGCCTGACCAATATTTCATGATCACCTTGTGGTGTGATTACTAGTGTTACTGCCATTTTACAGATCGGAAAATTGAAGCCTCACGAGTCTTGCTTACACGTCCAGTGGCTGGTAACTATTAAATAGAGGAATCAGGATTTGAATCCAGGCTTTCTGACTCTAAAGCTTACTCTGTTGTTCTTTGTGTTTTATTTATTGTATTAAATTCTTTTTCTCAAAGGAAAACTTTTTATTACATTAACAAAAAATTCATAACAGACAAGGTGAAAATAAAAGCAATAAAGATTGAATAATGTTAGTAACTTGTACCTAGCTGCTGCTGCCCAAAGATCTGAGCCTGAGATCTGTTCTTCACTGGAGAGAGCAGGTGTGGAAAGGTGTCAGTGACAGGCCAGGATTTAACTGAGGCTTTATCCTCAAAACAATCTGAAAGCTAAGATGAGATTGGAAAGGAAATCAGTGTTTCACTCTGTGCTTCACCGTTATTTAATGCAGCTTAGGTTTGCAATCATCATTATTGCTGCTCAGCAAACATTTCTGACTTTCCGCCTCCCGGGCTCCCAGAAGATCGCCACCTCCTGCTTCCTTTGTGATTGGATGGGGCCACGTGACCCCAGCTCAGCTCTCCCTGAATTTTGTACATTACTGCTGGGCTAGAACATGTTCATTCCTGGCGTGGGGCGGTCCAGCACACCCCTTTTCTGGAGCCTGAGTCCCAGAGTAGGGACAGCACAGAGGACAGAGAGCCTCCAGCTGAGCCATGATGATTATATAACGCCAGCAAGAAATAAGCTGGGGTGTTAGAAGCTGTAAAGACTTCCAGGTCGTTTATTTACCGCAGCGTAATGAAAGGTATTGTGATGAACACAGCATCCCATCCAGAATCATACTGAAGATGCAGCCTCCTTCCACAGCCCATGGTCTTAATTATTGTGCTATGCGAGATTCTGGGCAGGCCAAGGTGGAAGCAAAGCCATCATGTTCTGTGTAGGGAATGCTCTCTTCCTCAGCATCGTCTCCTTCCCCAAGCCTCACTACCTTGGCAAACTACCTGCTTCCACCAGATGCCTCTGACTCTCACATCTCTGTGCCCTTTGTTCATCTCTACCAGGAGTGGAACATACCTCCGTCTCCATCTCTGTCCTGACCAGTCACCATGCAGAGACTGGTGTGTGCCAATGTGTGCAGCTGTGCATGGCTACTTTCCAGCTCTGTGCTGCGGGGCTGGTCCTTAACCTCTCTGGGCCTCAGTTTCCTCCTAAAACAGAAGCAGTGCATCTGACTCCGCTGCTCATGGGGCTGTGAGGCCAGGAGTCAACGTGCTGCTTCGTGGAAAGAACACAGTGAGATATTTTTAAGGATTAAACTATCAGCATTGTTTCTGCTGGGTGAAACCTTGCCTGCCTTTGGGAGTCTATGCACTTGTCCCCGTCACCATGAAGCCTTTCACAGTCTTCCAAGTGCAAGTGCACTCTAACCACACTCTAGCCAAGTTGCCATGCTCCATGGCCTGTTGGCTTCTTAAGCAGAAGTGTGTCTTCACCATCTGGATCTCCTGCCTTCCACACTGCTAGCACATGGCTTTGCACACAATGGGACTAAAGGACAGTGTTTGCTTTGAACTGATTCGGGCCAAGGTAGGGGGGGTGACTTGAGCAATCCCGGCCCCCACCCTGGTCAAACCAGCACTCCTTATCTTAGTTTCATTATATCTGCAAGATCCTGTTTCCAAATAATCTCACATTCCCAAGGCCCACTAGAGTTAGGACTTTGGGAAGACTCAATTTAAACCGTAACATGGGGGTCAGAAAACGTGGATGCTTGGTGTCTGGCTTCCCTCATGGAGGCCACAGGAACCAGGAGCAAGAAGGCACACGAGGAGCTGTAGCCTGGGAACCAGGCCCCTGGCTCTGCCTTCAGCTCCCAGAGGGACCTGGGGTGCTACCCTCTCTCTGGACTTCATTCTTCCCGGTGAGATAAGGAAAAGGCATCCACCCTTTAACAATTAGATTACTTCAAGGTGCAAGTGCAGTGGGGAATGTGAAGGGGCTTTGCAGCCAGCCCACCAGGGCACAGATGGGAAGACCTTTCCTTAGGCCCCAGCTGCCCCCTCCTATCTCTGGCATGAGCTCGGAAATGACTGTAAGAGTAGTTCATCTACCCTGCTGCGCCACTCACACCCTTAGCCCTCTCACCCGCCTCCCCAGGCTTCTCTGTGCACTCACCCCGTCTCTTGGCCGTCCTCATTTGAATCATTCTGCTCCCTAAGTGTGTTTCCTTCTCTGTGAAGTGGAGAGAGTGGCTGCCACCCATATGGTTGTCGCAAAGATTAAAGTTTGAGGCAGTGCAGTTAGTTTAGCACATGGCTGGCATCTGGCAATCTTGAATAAATACTCATGGATTTTGTAGGAGACCACACATCATCCACACGAAGAAACCGTACACGTCACATACATCGCCGTTGCATCACTCCTGGGCCCCTGACCTTCCTCCATGCAGCCGGCCAAGTCCTCTGACTCAGCCTTGCTCAGCTCCTGGTCCCTTTGTCCTCCTTAGCCCTCTCAGCTGCACAGCAAGGGCTTTAGGTGAGACGATCTCAGAAGTCCCACCAGCTTTCCTCTCCTGTGATTTTAGCCTACCGTGGTACTTCAGGATGTGCCTGGCTCCTTTCTTTAAGAACTGAGGATGAGCCCAGAGGCAGGAGTTCAGACAAGGGCCAGGATTCCTGGATCTGTCCCTGTGCTGCCTTGTCATGCTCCGGCAGTGCCCTCCCTTGCCAGGGCTCTCTCCTCCTTCATCACAGAAAAGACTGGCCTGGGCAGATGCCTATCTGGTTCGCTTCTCCGGAGATCCACAGCAAGGACCTTTGGGACCTCCAAAGTGCCTTCCCTGCCCTGCCTGTTGTGTCCTCCACCAGAGCACCACCCCCTTGCCCACGTGTGCATTCGTTCACTTGGCTCAGGTCCTCAGCATCCAACAAAGCCTTCCCTTCCCACCCACACTAACACACTGGCACACACACAGCCCTGAGGTCGTGTTTTCCTAAACATCATGCTATGTTCTTACTCGTAGCTTGTCTTTTTGCCAGGCTCCTTCACTAGAATATAAGCCTCAGCATGACATTGTCTTCTCCGCCTTGTTCAACAGAGGGATCCTGTGTCTAACAGAGGATTAGGCACCCAGTAGGCACTCAATATACTTTGGAAGGGGGAAAGGGAAGAGAGAAAGAGGAGAGAGGAAGGAAGTCTTTAGCTACGTACTTGAACTGAGGCTAAGATCACTAACGAACATTTTTTTCTCTCCTTTGCTGCTGCTATGTCATTTTAGCTCCAATCTATTGGTCCAACCAGTATCTATTACAGCCAGCTCTGCCTAGGCACAGTGCTGAGCCCAGGGGATGCAGGGGTAATCTTGATGCCCATGTCTCCTCCTGGATCTTAACATCTTCTGGGGAAGTCAGAAGTCAACATGGAGCCCATATCCTAAACCAGCACTGCAGCCAGTGTGAGGAAGACAACGGGGTCTGAGGTGACCAGGAGGAAGAAGGCAGGCAGGGGCAGGGAGCTCAGAGGAAGTAACACAGGCCCTGAGTGGCTGTTTCGGTCGTGAAGACCACGGCAGTCCAGGAACAGGGCTCCGCCCTCCCGGCCTGGGCCTCCTCTGCCTGTTTCCATGGGCACCTTTTCTTGCTAGTGGCCCTGGACCACCTGCAACTAAACCAGGGCCTTTGTCCCTCCTCTCTGCTCAACTCCAGCCTCTAGACAGCAGCCTCACCTCTAGACCTCTCCCTCTCTCTACTCTGTCCACTCTCTCTGCTGCTCGCCTTGTCCCTTCCCTGAGGCTCAGGCACAATGCCGTGTTTCTTCCTGAGTCAGGACCTGGCTGACCCAGGTGACATAGCAGGATACCCAAGGCAGCCATTCTGGCTGGCTCCACCCGGTACAAAGTCACAAGCGGCTTCCTGCCCCACACCCATCCTCTCATCATCCCTGCGGATGCCACTGCTGTCCTATCTGAAGTTGGAGGCCTGTGGCCCTCACCTCAGGAAGAGGCTGAGCAGGACTCCCAGCCTTCTTTCCTGAGGAGCAGGCTTCAGAGCCCAGGGCCAAGAGGGATAAAGGGCCTGCTTCTCTTCTAGGGATGGAGGTGTCTCTGATAATGGGGGCTCCGAACTATAGAACTTTTCAAGCTTAGGCAGGCTCTGGAGAAGGGGACCCTGTCCTCTAGACCCTGATGGTTAGGATAGCTGACCCCTAGCTAGGGTGCACCTGTACATTCCAGGCATAGTTGCAAGCAATTACACTTGCAGGAAATGGCTTAGACCTCATTTAAAAAAACCAAAAAAACCCAAAAACTAATATCCCCACTTTTCAGAGCAGGGGCCTGAGGCATGGTAGAGTTCCATCCACAGCACTGCTAAGTGAAGAGGCTACAGTTGGACCCAACAAGCCCTGAAGTCCAGCTCTGAAGCCCTGTGATGCATTTCCATGTCACTAACACAGCCCATGTACATAAAGCCTCTCCTGGAACACACAGCGCACAGGGACTGATCGTCACCTCTCGCATACATGCCCAGCCCTGTCCACAGCCTCCTGAATGTTTGTCCTCTAGACTAGAGGCCATTTATACAGTGACTGGGCTGGATCCCCATTAGAGGAAAAATACGATTTTCTTTTCCATTCCTCAAGCCCATGTCTCTCTCCCCTCCCTCCAGCCCCACTGTTTATTTCAGCAGGGAAATGGCCTTTGAAGTCCTCACTTCTTGAAAGCTGAGAGGGAAAGGGAGGCACTACAAACATTCAAAAGCGTGCCCACATGTTGGTTGGAACATGGAAGTTTTTTAAGGATTAATAACAGTTTTTGGAACCCATGAACCCTGCTGCTCTTTCAAGATGAAAAAAATAATAATAACAACAACCCTTGAAAATCACAACCATTGCTGAACAAACCCACTGAGTCAGGGAACCCAGAGGTGGGGGCCTCCCTCAGCAGTTTAAGGGAGCAGCCCCAAGCGCTGGCCCAAGACCTTGAGAAAGAGATGGGAAAACCATGTAGATTTCTTAAAGGTCCATTTTCCATTTTGGGGATTGTCTTTCACTTCTGGGTTGTCATTCCTTGCTTTTTTTTTTTTTTTTGTCATCAAAAATACTTTCTTTTAAG